GCCGCGAAACAATCGCTGCGGAGATCCGGCGTTGATTCCCAACCATCCTGTGGTGTTGGGTCCTCGTTTTGAAAAGACGTCGCCCCGCGTTCCTCCTCCTCCTCTCCTCCTCTTCCCCTCCTCCCTCCCGTCCGCATGCTTACCGCCCACCCAGTACAGCGCTTCGTGGCCCCATAGGGAGCCCCACCGAAGGTCCCAGTGCTACCGTCCGCATGCGCCCCCCCCACCCAGTACAGCGTTTCGTGGCCCCAGAAGGAGCCCCACCGAAGGTCCCAGTGCTACCGTCCGCATGCGTCCCCCCCACCCAGAAACCCGTTTCGTGGCCCCATAGGGAGCCCCACCGAAGGTCCCAGTGCTACCGTCCGCATGCGTCCCCCCCACCCAGTACACCGCTTCGTGGCCCCATAGGGAGTCCCACCGAAGGTCCCAGTGCTACCGTCCGCATGCGTCCCCCCACCCAGTACAGCGTTTCGTGGGCCCATAGGGAGGAGCCCATAGGGAGTCCCACCGAAGGTCCCAATGCTACCGGCCGCATGCGTCCCCCCCACCCTGTACACCGCTTCGTGGCCCCATAGGGAACCCCACCGAAGGTCCCAGTGCTACCGTCCGCATGCGTCCCCCCACCCAGTACAGCGCTTCGTGGCCCCATAGGGAGCCCCACCGAAGGTCCCAGCGCGACCGTCCGCATGCGTTCCCCCCACCCAGTACAGCGCTTCGTGGCCCCATAGGGAGCCCCACCGAAGGTCCCAGTGCTACCGTCCGCATGCGTCCCCCACGCCCAATACAGCGTTCCGTGGCCCCGCAGGGAACCCCGCCGAAGGTCCCAGTGCTACCTTTCGCATGCGCCCCCCACAGCCACTACAGAGTTCCGTGGCCCCGCAGGGAGCTCCACCGAAGGTCCCAGTGCTACCGTCTGCATGCGTCCCCCCCCCCTCTGTACAGCGTTTCGTGGTCCTATAAAAGCCCCGCCGAAGCCCCTGGGACTGTCCGCGTGCGTCCCGGAAATCTCATTGGGCATGTTCACCCCACCCAGTACGGCGTTTCGTGGCCCCATAGACAGCCCCACCGAAGCCCCCGGTGGGCCTGTCCGCATGCGTCCCTGAAACACAATTTTGGCATTTTCACACATCACCCACTACGGACGGCGTTTCGTGACCCCGTAGAGAGCTCCACCGAAGCCCACAGTGGGACCGCCCGCGTGCGTTTCGGAAACCCTGTTTGGCATTTTCATCCAACCAGTACAACGATTCGTGGCCCCATAGGGAGCTCCGCCAAAGCCCCCAGTGGGACCGTCCGCATGCCTCCCGGAAACCTAATTTGGCACACCCCTCA